CTGAGCTAGTTTTGTTATTGATCGTCTCCTAATCTACAAATCTACCTCTCTTTTCCTTTGTCAAATATTTATTTTTTATTATTTTTTTATCACTTTATGAGTTCTCTTATTCCGGATAACAGAGGTCTGTGTTAAGAAATACGAAATAGGTATACGCGCATTCCTTTTATGCGTTAATGGCTTTGGCTTAATTGAATTTTTTGGTGTTTTTGTTTTCTGTTTTATTGTAATTTTTTATTTTGAGGAAAGCAGAAAAATGCATTTTTCACATTTATTTGATAAAATTATTATACGGACACTTACTGCACAAGAATTTGAAAACATAAGTCTATGCTAAATATTGATACTGTGCATTCCATACATGTCAAGACTTTAATCAGAACTAAATTCTTTGAATATTAAAGAAAAATCGAAAAACATACGAAAGTGAAACAGGCACTGGTTGTCTGTAGTGTTCACCCTTTTTGTCCGTTCATCCCGCTGTCTTGCTGCGTACTAACCTTGCAAAACTAGAATAAGTTGACATCCGATTTCTTTTCTCTGGACACATTTCTAACTGATTTCCTATCTTACTTATATCTCTGATTTTACTTATTGCATTATAAAAAACTACATGAGAAATGGAAATCAACTCCTTAATTTCAGATAGCGTTGATAGATATATTCATGTATTACTACAATTACACATTGTTCTCGTACAAAGTTAACACGTATATGCTTTTATGAGTCATATTGTAGACTACAGAATCTCGGTTAGTAAAGTTAAACGTTTATTATGACCAGCACTTACTATTTTGACAGGACCTAACGAAAAGTACTCTTGTTCATGATATAAAAATCGTAAAATGTCTTTCCCGACTGCCAAATGTGATTGTTTACAGCTTTCGATATTGAATACTTCTTTGTATGTTATAAATGCCGACATGAATGTGCCATTACGTACTTTTCGTACCGATGCCATACTTTTTTGGTATAAATCATATCCTATACAGTAACTATAGTAATATGATGTTAACAGATTTATCCAACTTTTATAAGTTGCTCAGACGTAATGTGAAAAAAATAGAACGAGAAAATCGTCAAAATACATAAAGTTACAAATTTGAAAGAGGATAACACGTAATAAAATTTAAGTTAAAACGACAAGTATACTTCTATAATTGTTTGTCAAGCTCAAACAATGAAAATAAAATATACCTGCTGTAGAAGCAAAAAAACAAGCTCAGTTTTCAATTTAAGAACAATTTTATTTATCGTTACGAGTCAAAATTAAATATAAAAAGTTCATTCCCTATAGTTACTACGCGTTTGAAACTGTTGAAGTAGCTTAATTATATAATACTGAAAAAGAAATCAAATCAACATTTGAATTACAGTCAGTTCTATTATACTAATAAAATAGAAAAAGTTATGGAGGCAAACGACATACATATTGTTGTATTATATATTGCACTACCAATGTTCCGATACTTACATAGTCTTTCTCAGAGAATAAAAAAATAAACAAACTCTACATGTCATTTATACAATCTGTATGACAGGATAACTTATACACGTTATTTCTTTAAGTTATTAATGGTTCAATAAAGAACCTTGTGACATAACAATAGATATCGTATTCAATAGAAGAAATAATTAATAACAGGAAAAGTGATTTTTCGTCTTTAAAGATACAGCGATGTTATAACAAAAATGTGGAAAATTAATATCCAATTAAACAGTGAACATCAATCTTCTTCGATATAAAAGGAAATCAACGTTTCAATTTTGTCCGTTATAACATAGTTTCAACTAGTTATCTAAAGTTTCCGATGAAAAGTAAATTGGGTTTGTAAGATTATTTTCGGGACAGGTAATTCTCCTTAATTTAACTCTTGAAATATTGAAATCAGTTAAAATGTATACTTGAAAGGATAACATTTCTTTTAAATCTCAGACATCTCAAACATTTTGAAATTCTGAAAATCTCCTGTGCAGAAGATTATTATAATGCCTGGTATTGTAACAGTGGACATGAGTTGGACACGTTACATTGAAAGAGAAGGTTAAATTGAGAATGTTTAAACTCAACTAGGACAGCACGAGCAACTAAGTAACGGAAAGTATTGTGTGTTTTCTTTATGGCCTTGCAAGGGGACGGGCCTCGTGTACTTAGTACCAGCTTATCAAACAGTCGTTTAGAAATATTTTCCTGATTAATTATTAATTATCATTATTATCATTAATTATTATATACAAGACAGGTTTTTGAAAATGTTTGAAATATTGAATAATTAGTAAAGATAATTATATATATACTAGTAGATATAAAAAAGATAAAAAAGAAAAAAGTCCAGTTAACAACCTGCGAAACGGAAAGGGACATAGTGACTCTGTAAAGTAAAAGTATATATCTGTATAAAAAAAGAGGAATAGGGACTACATAGAAAATTGTCGCGTAAATAAATGTGTAAAGTTTAAGACTTGTGTTATTTCGATACAAAACCTTAATGTTATAATAATAGTATAAAACATTAGCAGTTTTGTAGCATAGACTATTGAAATCGTTTGCTATTCCGGATTAACATTATACTGATGTTGATGCCATCACTTTAGTTTGTGTCGCCTTTAGGTAGAGTGTAAAGAATTACATTACATTAAGCTGAAAGACTTTGGAAAAGGCTATCTGAATTGTTAGCATCAATGTAAAAATGATGTGTAGTTTCTAAAAATGCATATTACCAGCGAGGTGTGTTTATAATATTTTTTCTGTATATATAGGGCTTATATCGTAGACATGCATGGTATAGTTGCCGTTTTCTGATACCTGTATATAACTATTTTGGACAATTTAAACTTTCTATTCAAGGGATATTTGAAACCAACCTTTTTTAAATTCATTAATTTCAAATGTGTTTCAGAAATAATTTATCAGCTTCAAATTCATTTGAATCAAAAGCTACCAGCAGATGATCTAAGAAATGGTGATAGTTCGATATTCTGTTATTGTTATATCGCGTGATAAATAGAAAAAAATGATCGTGAGTATACATGAAAAAGAGATAAACCGCATCACTAAAGAACTCCTAAAATGGCATAATTGAAAATGTTGCAGACTCGATTTACTTGAGCCTGTTCATGTACAGTACTAGAACTGGTATTCACAAGCTACCATTCACGTTTCTACCATAGGCTTAAGCAGATCAACATTTTAACATAAAAATGGTAAATAATTGAATTGTGATCACTTTTCTTAACTTTATCTTATTGAACTTATTGATAATCTTTATTTGTATTAACGCATGACGTTTTAAAGAAACTTACTTTATTTGAGATACCAAACTGGCGTTTATTACACATAAACTATGTTATATTATATTACGGACAAGGGAAATAATTAACCACATCGTGCGATAAATTGTGGAAGAATATGCATGACATTGTAAAAATGCTGATAACAATAAACTACAAATTTCAAGCTTAACATAAGTTATAATTGTTAAATATGAAAACATTAATATTATTTCTTGTATAACTATATTTTGAAAAATTGTGTGAAATAAATCTTTATAAATGACAGTTGTTTGTATTGTTTTATCGAAAATAACGCACAATTCTCTTTAATGTGATTGTCTTGTATTTCAATATTATATCAGACTGCCAAAATTGTTACATTATGTATTTTGCGTGGCGTTACTTCTCGAAGTAAAATAACTGGTATAACGTGCATCAAAGGAAAACAATTAATTCCTTGAAATTTTTTAACAATGGTAGTATAGATTTTTTCATGCAATCGTTATAAAAAAATTTTTTAATTGATAAAATTTTTTAAGCTGGCATTTTTTTGCGTGTGCATGTGCTAATACAATATGCATCTTAAGCGACTCGGATTGTATGAAAATCTATTTTCAGGCTACAAATTTTTTAATTTTGCTGTTTCTCCTTTGAACGTTCCAAAGATCTATTCTATCTAAAAGTCTTACATCGGTGCTAAAGTTTTACATAATTATGTAAAAAATTAGCACCGATGTAAGACTTTCCGATAGAATAGCTCTTTTGAACGTTCAAAAGAGTAACAGCAAAATAGAATATTAAAACATATTTATTTCATATTCATACGTGGCTTGGTATCTAACATAACTCAGTGACTAGGTTTTTAAGATATCGTTTAACCGCAACATATTTTTTCGTAATTTCATCTGATTTATGCTTTTTACTGATTATAACATGAAAAGTGAGTCTAAAGAATTTACAAATTTGTAATAATTATGCTGTAAAATGCATGTCAAAGCGAAACCAAAAGCGTTTGAATCAGAAGTAAAGATAGGTGCAGGCAGTTTTATTCTAGATGTAAAATGATGATCAAAGTCGTCTTCTTTGCACGGTTTTTTCCAAATTGAAATACTTTTCGAGAAGTATATGTCTTCATATCAAAATCTTCTTTAACTGTAATTTGGTATAAATAACTTTTCTAACGAGTTTTACTATTCGATGTAATTCTAGCTTCATTTTTCAGAGAGAAGAGTGTGTTTGTACCTGTGATGACTGACACTTAGTACACACCTACGAGGTGGAGCTATTTAGATAGTTGTTTTTAATATGTTATGTATATCATGTATTATATAGAGAGTTACAGTGTATGTATGAATGTTAAAACAATAAAGCTGTATTATAAGCTATGATGTTGATTTTAATAATCCTCAAATAAACAGAATATTACATTGGCGACGAGTAATGGAGATAAAGTTTAAAGACAAAAAAAATAAATAAAACAAATGAGGATTTAAAAAAATATTCTGATCTAGAAACAATTGGAATAAATCAATTTTAATTCCTTTAAACAAATGGAATTAAAAACAGTTTAAGTGTGAAAAAAAAACAAGTTGAACAATAAAAACAATGCAAGCCAAAACAATAAATGTGGAATCAAGCAGATTAATTTAAGACAAAAATCTGAGTGAAACAATTTAAATACATAAGCAAAGAAAACAATTAAAACAGTGTATTCATGAAATAAACTGATGGCAGCCAAATTTGAACTAACAACACCAGGACCATTTATAGTAGTTGGGGAGCAAACAAATTTATCTAAAGCTTGGGAACAATACGAAAAACGTTTTGAAATATATATTCAAGCAGCTGGAGTTACTAAAGATTATCAAAAGAGAGCATTGTTACTGCATGTTGGTGGGTCACAAATACAAGATGTCTTTAATAGCTTAGGCAGCCCTGGAACTACATATAAGGATGCAGCTGACAGTCTATCCAATTATTTCAAACCCAAAAAGAAGATTCAATACGAAAGACGTGTGTTTCATCAATCAAAACAAATGTATGGTGAAACAATTGATAACTATGTTGTTCGTTTGTCGAAATTGGCAGTGTCCTGTGAGTTTATTGACCAAGACGACCAAATTCGGGATCATATTTTAGAATCTTGTGCATCTGATGATTTGAGAAAAAAATTGTTAACAACAAAAAACTTAACATTAGAAAGACTCCAGGAAGTAGCTAGAACCTATGAATTATCTGACACCCATGCGAAGTTAATGTCAAACAAGAAAGATGATTTAGTCGACGAAGTAGAAGTAAACAAATTGCGCTCTAGATCAAGAAGGCAAGCACAGCCTCGATTTTCGAAATCACAGTCAAGACCACAACAGCACCAACAAAACCATCATCAACAAAGGAAGAAATATGACATTAGCACAGCAAAGTGTTACAGGTGTGGGGATATCGGACATTATGGTAAACAGTGTAAAAAGTCTGTAGGTGTAACATGTTTCAAGTGTGGAAAACAAAACCATTTTGCAAAACTGTGTAAAAGTAAAAGTGTAAATTTCTTAGAAACAGATAATTTTGATGGATATAGCAGTGAGGAAATATACGCCATTTCTGGTAAGAATGCTGCCACTCTCCAAATTGTCCTTGAAAATAAAAAAGTTGATGTTTTAATTGATAGTGGGTCATCTGTCAATATAATTGATGAGCATTTGTTTGGTAAACTCAAATAAACACACTCGCCTACTTCCCACAAGCTCTAAGGTATATCCTTGGTATCAAAACTCCAATCAAACATATTGGTATGGCATATCTCAACATAAGGGTAAATAATGAAACACACAGTGTCGAGTTTCAAATTCTCAAAGGTACAGGCAAACCACTTTTAGGCCATGAAACTGCTTTAAAGTTGGGTTTACTTCATATTGGCCCATTGCCGCCTGGGAAAATGCATTCTCTTGAACCAGCACAAATTAAATTAGGTCAAAAGCAAACAACAGAATCTATTTTGTCTGAATATGATGATAGATTTCAAGGATTGAGAAGGATTAAAGATTTTAAATTGAAACTTTACATTGATGAATCTGTTCAGCCAGTAGCACAAAATGTCAGAAGAATTCCATTTAAAATGAAAAAATTAGTTGAGAAAAAGAAAGACGAGTTAGAAAAACTTGATATTATTGAAAAGGTAGAGGGTTTGACTCCCTGGGTGTCCAATTTAGTTCTTATCCCAAAACAAAATAATGATGTAAGACTTTGCGTTGACATGAGAATGGCAAATAAAGCTATACTGAGGGAAAGATTTCCTATGCCAAACATAGAAGAGGTTTTGATGCAGATGAATGGATCTGTCATATTTTCAAAATTAGATCTAAAACAATCTTTTCACCAGATAGAACTAGATAAAAAATCAAGATATATTACTCTTTTTGTATGTCACAAGGGTTTATACCAGTACAAAGTACTAAATTTTGGTATTAATATGGCCCCAGATCCACACCAGAGAATCATTCAGCAATTGCTTCAAGATATTCCAAATTGTCAAAATATTGCTGATGACATAATTATTTATGCAGACTCTGTTGAAAAACACGATAAAGCTCTTGTCCGTGTCTTACAAAGGTTGCGTGAAAAGAATCTGACTCTGAACCGTGACAAATGTGAGTTTTGTAAAACTGAACTTAAGTTCATGGGTCATATACTGTCCAAAGATGGCATCAAAATTGATGACGCAAAAGTCAGGGCAGTCCGAGATGCCGAACCTCCGACCAATATCACAGAAGACACATCATTCTGAGGTCTGGTTTCATTTTGTTCAAAATTCATCCCAAATTATGCCACTCTGTCTGAGCCCTTGCGAAAACTAACAAGAAAGAAAGAACCCTGGGTCTGGGGAACAGCATGAAAGCTTCGAAAAACTCAAACAATGTCTCATAAGTGCTAGGGTCATGTCCTATTATAATCCTGAAGCAGAAACAAGGCTCATTGTGGATGGATCTCCTGTTGGGGTAGGTGGAGTCCTTGAGCAAAAACAAAAAGATGGTACATTTAAACCAATAGCTTATGCAAGTCGTATCTTGTCTGGTGTAGAAAGGCGTTACAGTCAAGCTGAGCGCGAAACCTTGGCAGTTGTGTATATGATACTCAGATTTCATGTTTATCTATGGGGAATTCATTTCACAGTCTTTTCTGACTGTAGATCCCTTGAGAAAATTTTCACTCGAAGGCATGAATCAACCCCAAGAATATTAAACTTGGTTTTAAAAGTACAGCCATTTTCTTTTAAAGTACAATTTCTACCAGGTTATCTGAATCGGGTAGATATTTTGTCCAGAAAACCAATTAGGGAAACAGATGATTCAATCTGTAGCCAAACAGAAAATTATGTGCATCTTGTTACAAATCGTTCTGTCCCTATAGCTGTAACCTTAGATGAACTTCAAGAATGTTCACAAAGTGACCCAGTCTTAAAACAAGTACGCACTTGTCTCGAGAAAAATAAATGGGAAAAATCGCAGCAATTAAAACCCTATTACCAGGTTAGACATAATCTTTCGGTCAAAGATTCTCTTATCTTGAAGGGTAATAAACATTCCAGAGCATTTACAATCCCGTGTACTTCAATCCGCCCACTCATCTCACATGGGAATACAGAAAACAAAAAGGCTAATTAGAGAAAACGTTTGGTTCCCAAACTTAGACAACGACAAGTAGAAAATATGATAAAATCTTGTCATGCATGTCAGATGGTGTCTCAAATCCCGCAAGAACCTCCTGTGGTAATGACAAAACTTCCATCTTCCCCCTGGAAAGAACTAAGCATAGATTTTATGGGTCCAATAAATAATGAGAACCTGTTGGTTCTGATAGATTATTACACCAGGTATCCTTTAGTGGCAATTCTAAAGTCAACCACTAGTAAGTCAATCATAAATCAGTTAAGTAAATGGTTTGCAATGTTTGGATATCCAAGTCAAATTAGAACGGATAATGCACCAAATTTTTGCAGTTAGGAATTTAAGGCATTTTGTCATGAACATGGCATCAAACATTGTAGGTCAACAAAATATTTTCCTAGGTCAAATGGTTTAGTAGAGAATTTTAATAGGTCTTTAAAAAAGTGTGTTCATACTGCAATCTCAGAAAACAAAAATTGGAGAGAAGCATTAAACACATTTTTGCTACATTTAAGAGCAACACCACATTGCACTTCAAATTTTGCACCAGCATTTTTGATGTTTAACAGAGATATTAAAACAAAAATTCTACAGTTAGAAAAAATAAGAGTTAACGCAAAATTGAGAAATAGGGACAGGATACAGAAACAAAGAATTCAATATTGGGCAAACAAACATATGGCCAAAGGGTACAGAAAATTCAAGATAGGGCAGAGAGTCCTAATTCTCAGATGTTAACTAATTGGGCAAATGATATTTGTAGGGTTGTAAGTCAAAAGGGCACTTCTGTGAAGGTGATAAGTACAAGTGGCAACATTTATAACAGGAATGTAAGTCATGTATAACCATACTTTGGATAATAATTGTGTTATCAAACAAAGGGTGTGCTGACATTAAGCTACAGTCTCACTTACATCCCGGCAGAGCCCCGGCAGAGCCCCGGTAGACGTCCGGGGTGATCCGGGAACGACCGGGGTACGACCGGGAACAACCGGAGTACATCCGTAACTCTACCGGCAACGTCCTGGATGATCCGGGATGATCCGGGAACATCCGGCATTCGACCCCGGATGGAATAAAATATTTAATATCACCGGGGTGGTCCGGGACGATCCGGGAAGGTATAGCTTTGCCGGCTTCATCCGTAGCTCTGCCGGGAACGACCGGGGTTATACCGGGGGTGCACTGTAGCTCTGCCGGCACAAACCGGGGATGATCCGGGGTATGATATAGCCGGTAAAGCTACGGTAGAGCTACGGTAAAGCCCCGGAAAATGCCGGCAGAGCCCCGGCAACTACAGGCAGACTCCCGGATAATAAAGGTAGAGCTACGGTTGATCCCGGTAGAGCCCCGGCAAAGCCCGGATCATTTCAAAAGAATAACGACAATTTGCGATTATTGCACTTGCTGGTATTAAAACCCCTCCCATTTCTCTTCTATCCAGTATGGCATAAGGATTTTTCAGAAAATCATCACGAAATACTATTCTGGAACAATAGATATTATATTAGATAAAAATTATGTATCAATGTTATCTTTTTCGGGCGTTTTCAATCCACCGGGGTTCTACCAGGACTCTGCCTGGATCGTCCTGGGCTCTGCCGGGGCTCTGCCTGCATCGACCGGGGCTCTGCCTGGGTCAACCGGGGCTCTTCCGGCGTCATCCGGGAATGACCGGGGAAGCACCGGCATGAACCGTAGCTGCACCTGGGCTCTGCCTGGATGATCCGGAGCGCATCCTGGGTGGTTAGTTGAGAACTACCGTAGTGCTGCCGGGAGTAAGTGAGACCGAGGCTTTAGAAGTTGGATTATAGTGTTATATTTTATCTAATAAGCAATCATTTATAGTGATATATTTATCTAATAAGCAATTAGTTTTCAAGGTGTTCATATTAAAGTAGATATTTTTAGTTTATGAATTTATACCGTGAGAAACTATTCAAATCAAGGGAGGATGTGATGACTGACACTTAGTACACACCCACGAGGTGGAGCTATTTAGATAGTTGTTTTTAATATGTTATGTATATCATGTATTATATAGAGAGTTACAGTGTATGTATGAATGTAAAAACAATAAAGCTGTATTATAAGCTATGGTGTTGATTTTAATAATCCTCAAATAAACAGAATGTTACAGTACCGTTCTCCCTCCTTCTGCATTTTTGTGATGTAGTGTATCGAGCATTTGTAAATACCATTTGATTTTTGAGCTGAATTTACACATTCGTTTTTTTAAGTAGTTTTCAAAAGGAACACTTTACAGTACAAAGAACGCCCTCAGTATATAAACGCTTAATTCTTCTGTGTTGGTGAGAGTTTAACTAAACCAAAAATAAGTGGCGATATACTATAATTATATAATTAAATTGGTGACAAGAGTATTTAAACGTGCAACTGCACATTATGCCACAGGAATCAATATTTACTTAATTCTTTATAAATGTAAAACACGTGTTTAATTAGTTTTAGAGCACGTTGGGTATTTAACAACTGAATAAATGTAGTGCTAATTGTGCAGTAATGTGTTGGAAAGGTAAGAAAACTGTAAATAAAGCAGCATTTTGACTTCGATAAAAAATAATTCACTACAATTATACTTATTGCCAGCAAAGCGAAAGCAAGACTAGTAAAGTTAATCCATATGGCAAATAAGTGTTTTTTTAAACTGTAACAGGATACCAAACATTTCAGGAATAAAACTTATAGAGTTTTCTGAGGCACAATAGGCCTTTAAAAAAATGATGGGCCTTTAGATAAATGATTCATCCAAGGCACGAAAGTCATAAACGTTATAGCTATAAAACAAAACATTTTAGGAAATTTAAACATATGTCTCACGTACTGTATTATATAAATGGTTTTCCGAACATTCAAAATGAGTTATCATATTCTACATTAGGCATTAAACTGAGCCATTGTTAAATCAAGAATGTTATCCTATGTACATAACTGTGTTCTTATGTTCCCTGCATGCTGAATACCGTTTTTCTTTATTATGTACGATTATTTCAAATTGTAACATAAAATTTGCGAACATACATGTTCTTACTTTT